AAATTGAAGGTGTGCGCGGCGCTTCGCGTCGCAGACTATACTAATCTAACTCTAGGATAGTAAGTTAGCCCTCAGGTAAGTGGGAGTAGACGACCTCCAAATCACCATTTCTATATTTTCAGGGATTTCAAGAAACCTGCATTTTGATAATCGGGTTTTCCCGCAGTTACTAAAGTATATTCCACTGCCTATTATAATATCCTATCCATAAAAACCTATAACCACCGTTTTCGTAGGAAAATATGCAGGTAGTAGGGATTAATGAGGTGCACTACATAAATTGCTGTTGCCCCCAGACCCCCATTAAATGTAGTCTAATGCACGTAGGTCCTGATGTTTGTGCCACAAAGAAGACGGGGGGGAGTTTTTAGCTGTGTATATTGAGCCAAGATTCACCTCCGATAATCTTGGCTTTTTATCACCATCTGGGCCCGCTGAGTGCCAGAGTAGAGATGAGGTAGAGGCAGCGAAAGTCCGCCTCATTGTAAACAAATTCGTGTCAAATTAGCCCTCTGCGCTAGCCTTGTGGGTCAGCGCTGGGCGTCGTCTTTGACGACAATCGAACCAGCAGATGCGTCGGCGTTGGATTTATACATCTGCCAAATTTGAAGATGTTCTTCGGGATAAAAAGTAACTTTAATGAGTGAATTTTCGAGTTTGGCGCCCCAACTCGTCTTCGGGCTAACAGGAAAAGTGCAATGAACACTCAAGCGCCCAAAACAAATACATGGCGAGTCCTCCCCTATCCAGGGAATGTGTCTGAAATCGTTGGAAGACACTTACAGAAACATCAAATAAAGGTGACACACAAACCGGTGGCTACTTTACGCACCCAGCTAGTAGAACCTAAGGATAGGGTCAGCTACCTCGTTAGGTAAGAAGCCATCTACAAAATCCCATGCGGAGGTTGTGATACTGTATATTGTGGCCAAACAGGAAGATCCGTCTCCACATGCATCCACGAGCACCAATTGGCCGTGAAGAGACGTGACCCTTTGTCCGAAGTGGCTATCCATTGCCTCACCACAGGGCACGCTTTTGCATGGGATAAAACACGCATCGTCGGAGTTTGCCCCTCCAAAAATGGCCGATAATCCCTCGAAGCCATGCATTCCGACGATTCATGCATCAACCGGCACGTCAAGTTGGATGGTATTTATAAGCACGTCAAAGAACGAGGGAATAAACAGAGGCCGCACAACAGGCACTAACTGAGGCCACACCCACCAATCACGTCTCACCCTATAAGATTATTAATTTTTCCGGCAGTTTTGACATTTTAGTTGTTCATTGCACTTTTCCTGTTAGTCCGAAGTCGAGTTGGGGCGCCAAACTCGAAAATTCACTCATTAGAGTTGCTTTTTATCCCAAAGAACATCTTCAAATTAAAATTTAATGAGATGCGTGTGTTCCAATCTGCCAAAGTCGCGTGTATTTACTGCATTGCCCGAAAGGGGAAGTATTTTTCGGTTTGTGAGTATGTGGACGCATGCGCGTGGGTGTTTGAGTAAATGCAAGCGAGCTTTGCAAAAAGATTACTCGTGAAAGAGGCGGGTGGCATTCAGTTCAGGT